ATAGACCTTAAGAGGCAGTCGGAACATTCAAGGCCTCGCCCTTAAACGAGCACTTTTGTTTGTCTTACATGTTATTTTTCCGATTTTCGAAGAAAACGGAATATTTATGTTCGGTGTGGTTTTCAATTTCAATTTCAATTTCATTTTTGAAAATCTTATGTAACGTTGTCATAATGCATTAAAATTTGACATGGTGAACAAGTCGACAACTGTGAACAGATTTGTTCTTCATACTTTACATCGTAACATCACGCATTTAGCCATAATAACACGTAACACAAACATAAAACTCGGTATTTTGAAAGGGGGGACTGGAAAAGAGCCCAAAATTGTTCCAACTTAAAATTCGGCTAGCTAATTAGTGGTGGTATTGATATTGTCTAAAATTTATAGGTTTTCAATATTTTATTTTCGCAAAAACTATTCATTATGAATTAAGGGACTGTCGGAAGATTCAGGGCTTTGCCCTGATATACGATCAGTCTTGTTTTAGCTGAATGCGTAATGTAAAGAGGAAGGGTATGACAAACAAATGTGCGCACAATGGTTAAATTGTTCGCCATGCAAATTTTCATCACATTATGACAACGTTAAAACTGTTTTTCAAATATTGAGGGGGAGTGGAAAAGAGACTTGGCTTCTTATTTTGGCTCTTTTTCCTTTTCCCCCCCACCTCACACGACCTTCAATATATTAGTTTAACGAGTGGTTTTACAAGGTTGAGTATGAAGACCAAATATGTTTGTCGTGGCCCTATTAGTCTGTATTTTTCTTTGTTTTGCTAAAGAATTTTTTGGGTTCTTCACCACTCTGCCAAAAGTTACTGTTCAAAAACCGGCTCCTTTCCATTCAAAAACCGGCTCTTGTTCGAAAAACGGCTCGCAGACACCTTTTATTCTTAGACTTTTGTTCGTTGAAAACAAAAAAGTCCTCTTAAATAGATTTTGTAGATTGAATCAAAGAGGGGGCTGGAAAGGAGCCCGAAAAGTTTTTTTTTGGAATTGTAACCCCCAGAATATTAGACACGCCAAGATACCAAAATGACAGTTTGACGGGTTTATATGTGTTGTTACGTGAAGAAACACACAAATAATTTGATGCATTACAAAAAATGAGAACCTTTACGTGCTAAAAAATCTTTTTTAAGCTATTTTTTGTACGACCTTTAAAAGAAAAAAATATTTCATTCAGCAAATGACAATGTTTTTAAAGTGTAACCCGGAAACATGTGTTATGCCTTTGGTTGCTGAAATGGAGAGCTGAAAGGCACAAATTTTGTCAAGTTCTGTGGCGGAGCACTTCTTCTGAGGAACTTAGGTGAATGCTTGCTTCTTTTCCACTTTTCACCCCATATTTTAAATATCTATTTTATAATTGTTTCGAGGGGCCATGTAAACATCCTCTTCACAAAGCCGTTTGGGGGGGGGGGGGGACGATGTTAACTTGATTCTGGTTGCGAATTTTCAACCAATCAGAATAGAACATTTTACAAGCAGCTCTCAGCAAGTTTCAATTTGATTGTACGGTGTGGTAGAAGATCTTAATGTGGTCTAATTAAGGATGGGAACTCTGAAGCATTATGACGGTAAAATACTTCTTAAAAATTGAAATTGAAAGATACCCGGGTTGACCTGCATACACCGAAAATGCTTATCATACAATTCCATACAACAAAAATCATTGGCTCTTTTCCAGTTTCCCCTCCCCCCTTTGTTAAATTACAAAAAGAGATGTTCAAAAATTGTTCACACGGCAATTTTCATGTTAGAAATGTTGTGAAAATTTGTACAGCTGTTCGCGCTGACACGTTTTAATGCAGTTTATAACATTAAAAATTGTTTTAAAAAGACTTTCATGTAATGAATTTCAGAAAAAATGAAAGGGGGGAAACTGGAAAAGAGCCAAACCATTATCATACAAATCCATACATCAAGTGTATGGAGAAAACATTTGTCATACAATTTTCATACAGTGGTAAAAACGGCAGATCAATATAAAATAAATTCCAGAAACGTTTTCGACATAAAAGTCATCATCAGCCAATCTAAAAAACAAAGCACCTGTAAAACCGGAATGGAAATAGATGTGTAGAAATTACAAAAATATATAAAAACTAACATTAAAAAGAATATGAAAATAGCATCAGTTAAGACCCGAGTTAGTCATGTGACTAAAACAAACGGACTTAGAAAACCTCACAACTTGACTGTGAGATACCGCTGCCGGTATTCCTCGCGCGTGTTGAGGAATACACTTTCGAAAAACAGTAGAAAAAAATTAAACCATTTTTGCGGCTTTTTGAGAACAGTTGAACAGACTGGTGACAAAAAAAACTGATTTAAAATAATTTTTTTGAAAAAAATGCTTTCCATACAATTTCCATATATGGAAATTGTATGACTAGCATTTTTGATGGCGACACAAAAATTTTTTTTTAAGTAATTTTGAAAATTTTCCCCACAATTTTTTGTTTTTTTTTTTTCAACCGCAAATCGAATTTTGCACGCAAACAAAGATTTTCCGAAAAATTTTTTTTTGCATGCAAAATTTAATTTTTTGTGTGCATAACTTAGTCCTGGATACGATAATAATGGCTTGAGTAACCAAGTTCTTTGGCACTTATGTTCGGTTGCAAAAACAACCCAAAATTTTTCAGAAAGTAAATTTAGAAACAAAAAACAACTTTTTGGTTTATGGAGAAAATACCTATCATACAATTTCCATTTATGGGAAAATGTTTATTAAAGAGTTTTCATACAATTTTTTGTACGTATTGAATTGTATGAAACTGTATGAAAAAAATTTACCATTTATGAGAATTGTATGGTAAACATTTTTGTTCAACCCGTGTGGCGGTGGAGTTGAAACGGTTTGAAAGCTTGTAATCTCAAAAAAGTTCTTTTTGTACTTTCATCCCACTTGAATTTTAGTGCTCCCAGTTTTCAAGTGTGCTAGGGCAAAAATTGTGGGCTCTTTTTTTCCTTACCTTTTGTTAAACTAGTTTTTTTTAAATGATTTTGAAATGTGGGGTAAAAGTGGAAAAAGCCAAAATGTTTGTGTGAAAAAACTCATGTCAAAGATATTTTTTCCTGTTGGAAACTGAAAAAGAGCTTACTTTTGTAAAATTTTGCCTGAAAATCTGAACGAGCCCGCGTTTTGTAGAGTCCTTATGAAAACAGGCTGCTATTTTTGTGCAAAATCACTTACCGTTTAAATCATTTTTCATTTAGTGAGTATTGATTCGATTCTGTTAATGTTTGAATTGATAACGCAAACTTTTTGATGACGCGACTCGGGAGAAAAATTTTGTGCGATTTGAAACCAAACCAAAACCGAGCTTTCACACTTTTGCAAAACCTCAAATCCGACTACTCGAATTGATGAACAATTTGGCTCTTACCAGAATACCGAAACTGATCTAGACCAGATGAGCGGGAACTATTACTAAGCTGAACCGGCCGAAAAAGCAACAAAACCGATACGTGAACTAGCCGAAAGATGACTTGGTCTAAATAACCGAAACAAGCCAAATAAGCTGATCAATGGAAATCCGGAAAGGTTTACTAAGTATGGTCCAGTTGTTGCCATTGTAGAGAAGACACCGTTCATGCTAAGGAACTCAATTTGCAACCATTTGAAGTAGCCCTGAAAAGTACCACTGCCAACTACCCCAGTGAGCAGCCGACAAACTGAAACTCAGCAGTCCAATAACTCGGAAGCCGACAATCCAAAAGGCCGTTTGCTCAGAGGGCCGGCAACTCTGAAAGCCGAAATGCAGTGATTCCTTTTGGACCTTGGTGGATATTTGGTCTAAAACCCGGTGAACTTTTTGTCCCTGCAAAAATTTGTAAGACCGAACCTGAAATTTTGCAATTAAAGTTCAGCTATCATTTTGTGTTATATTTTACTCATAAAAGTGCAAATTTTTTTGATAATAAAGGCTATAATAACTTATACTATGTACTTAATGCAAACTGACAAAAAACCGTACTAGAATTGTAACAGTTCAGTTACAACCATGTACCCTAATACATCAGTCGAGCTTGAATCCGAAAACTTTTGTGTGTCAAAAAAAATTTCCTAAAAAGTTTTAGTTACTGTTTTCAAAAAAAAAATTAGAAAAAAATATACCAACTTTTCCCAGACAGAGTTTTTTTTCTTTTGATCGAAGCTGGATCAAAACCAAAAAAAAAACATTTTTTCCTATTCTCCTATTTGATTGTTGATACCGTCAATCGAGTCGAACATGTTTTATTAGTGACTCCCTACTTCGGTTTTTTCTATTAGTTGGTAAAAATTTTTAAAAAAATGCTCGATTCGTCGTTTTTTGCCCGCATGCCGCTGTGACCCTAAACACTTCCATTCCAACGTAACGCCGTATCCTAAAACAAATAAAACTTCCCTGTTAAGGTATACACGACCGCACCCAAACGTTAACGGAACCTTGTACACTCATGGTCAAAGGCTAAAAAGTTACTTTAGCCATAAAAAGTTCTTTTTTTCACGCATAAAAAGTATATCAATTAATTGCGCTCAGTTGATCACCTTTGAAACAATCGTATCATTCATCCAGCGCTGTCAATGGTATTCAAAATTACCGCTAATTCTCTCCATCGCCCCATAAAACTTTACCACTAAAACTACAAAAACGCTTCGATGACGTTTTTAAAACAAAACCAGGTCTTAGTGTTATTTTGAACGCAAGCAATCGTCAAAATACTGTCCAATATTTTTCCAGTAACTCCGCAAAGTGTTTAGTATAAAGAAAGTGATAGCAAGGCAGGATGTTATCATGTTTTTGGATGCACGCTCCCTCTTGCTTTAAGTGTATAACAGCGTCAAAGGCGCCTTCGGAAAAACTTTGAGTTTGGTCTATTAAAAGTTATTGTTGGAGAAAACTACTAAGATGAGGACTTTTAGAAACTTTGTTAAGTAGAATTGAGTGAGAAAGGGTTTCATACCCCGTCGCTCCCCTCAGAACGCTAATAATTGTTAAATGAATGGCCACCTTTTCAGTGATCTCTGCCAGACATTGCTTCTTTGATTCGAAAAACACCTCTTTGGAACTGGAGGGAACTGGCTATGTTCTGGTGGGTAAAGCGAACAAACTGGACAGCGAAGGCTCCATCGCATTCGACCTGTATCAGCATGCGAGGAAACATAGCAACCCCAATGCAGATGTGGCTGTTATTTACCTACCAAAGGCTGTCTACTTCAACGACAAAGTCAACAAGATTGACCTTCCCAAGAACTCCAATCAGGTATTACTATTTCTAACTTTTTATTTTTTTAGAGAAATTTTATTTACCCACGTTCAGGGTACTTATTCAAGCTAAGTCAAACCCATTATCAAAATAGCTGGGTCTCAACTGCAGTTCTCCGTGATGAGCTGAACAGCTCGTGTATTGGTCCTTTCCGTTGTGGATAAATGGTCTTAATTAAAAGCAGAGAAGAAAAGCATCATAATGTGTGTCAAAAGCAGAACGGAATCTTAATCTTTTGCTGGGTTTCAGGAATTTCGGAGTGGAATATATATGCACTGAAAGCTCAAAGAAGTAGTGAAAAAGCGTTTATAAAATTATTCCCAAACTCAAATTGGCATATTCAGCTAACTGATCCTTTTGGTTTTCTTTCAGCATGCAACTTTTTGAATAAATTTTCTAAATTATTAACAAACTAGTGATCCTTTTTCCTTTATTATTTTTTCTCAAACTCAACGACACCCCCCCCCCCCCGCCCGCCTCCACCTCACACAGGCATCAATCTTCTGGTGTAACGAGTGGTCTTACTGAGATAGGTATGAAGACTGAAAATGTTTTTCATTAGCTACTTAATTAGCCTGCCAGTTTTCAAAACGATCAAATCTTGCAAACAAAAGTTTAACTGGTAAAAACTCACAGGTTAGGGGAAAATAAAAAAGAGCCCATTATTATTATTATTATTATAACTTAGTATAACAATAAGAAATGAAACTTCAAGTAATATTGCCTCACAGAAGCCCCACTATGGAGACCCAGTGTCTGCGGTGGGGTGGGGCAAAGCATGTGGCTCAAATAAGAAGAAGTTGGAGGGCAGACTGTGCATTCCTGGAGAGGACTCCCAAAACTACAAACCAACCATCATGCAGGTCACTTCTCAGTTGTGTAGTTCTTGTTATTGTTCCGACTTTCGATACAAAAGTAACGGAATAATTGTGCTCGGGGTAGGTTTTTTTTTCTTCAGACAAATTTCGACTTTTTAACTAGCCACTTTTGATGAGATTTTTGAAAGATATTGTTGTCCTGAGCTTATATTTGAAAATATATTTCACCTGTGATTATTTTTCATAAAGTTATGAGGGTTTAAAGATTGCCATTATGGCCATTTTGACCAATTTGGGACAATTAACGCGCAATTTAATCCGTCGTATAAACCGTTTCAAATTGGTTGAACGAAGCTTATTTGCCATTATTGATTTGTTACAAGGAGCGAAATCTAACTTTTTGTACTTTATATGGCGTGTGGGGGGATGATTTAAAAAAAATCAAATTTTAGAAGAAAAAAAATTTCATTTTGTTTTATGAAATTTATTTTTTTAAATGTTATTACTGCACCATAAAACCTTAAAAGGCAGTCGGAACATTCAGGGCTTCACCCTGATACGAGCAGTCTGTTTGTACTTTTTATGGCGTGTGGGGGGATGATTTTCATTAAAAAAAATTCAAATTTTAGAAAAAAAAATTTATTTTATTTTTTTTTCATTTGTTTTTTTTTTATGTATTACTGCTATGTATTTATGTATTATGTATTTATTTTTTATGTATTATGTAAACCTTAAAATGCAGTCGGAACATTCAGGGCTTCGCCCTAATACGAGCAGTCTTGTTAGTTATTAATAATTATTGTTCCGACTTTCGGTACGAAAGTAACGGAATATTTGTGCTCGGGGTGGGCTTTTTTTCTTCAGACAATTTTCAACTGTTTAACTAGCCATTTTTGACAGAATTTTTGAAAGATATTGTTGTCCTGAGCTCATATTTGAAAAGGTATTTCACCTGTGATTATTTTTCGTAGAGTTATGAGGGTTTAACGATTGCCATTTTGGTCATTTTGAGCAATTTGGGACAATTAACGCGCGATATAATTCGCGCTATTAACGCGTGAGCGGAGATTTAATCCGTCTTATAAATCGTTCCAAATTTGTTGAACGAAGCTTATTTGCCATAATTGATTTGTTACAAGGAACGAAATCTCTCTTTTTGTATTTTATATGGCGTGTGGGGGGATGATTTTCATAAAAAATTTCAAATTTTAGAAAAAAAAATTTCATTTGATTTTATTTCATTTCATTTTTTATGCTATTACTGCTGCTCCATAAACCTTAAAAGGCAGTCGGAACATTCAGGGCTTTGCCCTGATAGGAGCAGTCTTGTAATAATTTCAAACCTTCTCTTGAAATTTGACTTTTCAAGTACACCCAACTATCCTTCTAGTGCCCAACTAATGTCCAGATACTTGAGCATTTTTGTTATTATTATAATAATTGTTCATAATTATTAAAGATATAAAAGCTCCCTTCAAGAACGGCTATCAAAAAGTTAAAATTTGGATTCTCTTCCATTCCCCCTTTGATTGTTTCTGCAATTCAACTTACGAAAGCTTATTCAAAATGAATTTCGATGTTCTAAATTGCATTAAAACGTGTCGACATGAACAAGTGAATGCATTTTTACATTTATTACGTTTACATGCAAATTGCTGTATGGACAATTTTTTTTTTGAGAAAAAAATTTTAAAAGTAATTTTACAAACGGGTGAGAAAGTGGAAAGGAGCCGAAATTTGTCTCAAGAAAAACACCACAAACATTCCATCCTTTCTTGGAAAAGTGGGCTTACAACTGGTCATTAGTTTCAAAAGTTTTGCAATATCTTTTACCTTGCATGTATCTAATCTAAATCAATCACCTGCTGTATAAGCCGTAAAACCGCATCAAATCCAATTAACATAAAAAAGCTAAATTCTGACCAATTGGATAATTCAATTTTCCAATCCCTTGTATTAAATATTTTAGTAAACTCTAAGTTACTCATATTTCCGTTCTCGATAACTTAACAGAGTTCCCAATGATGATCGTCACAGAAATTTTCATTCCGATTATAATTTCTTACCATCTCCCTTCACAACCACAGCCTACTTGCTTTGCAAACTACTTGAAGTTTTTCATCCTCTATAATCCGCGGTTTTTATTGCAATCATTGGCCCAAACATCACCGGAAAGTTTGCCGACACTAGATGAGCTACGCCATCGCTTAATAGAAATAATTCTGTCAAAAATATTTAGTTTTCCTATTATTTTTACCAACATAAGTTTGTTCTTTTTACTAACATAAATTAACTTTATTCCGTTGTTATGAACAATGTTTAGCACATAAAATAAATGCCGACAAACCTAATTAATCACCTAGCAATTTTGGGCCGTACACCACAAAATACCCAAAAAAGGCGTTCTTTTCTTTTTCTTAAAAAAAACGTGATTTCTGGCTTTTTAGGAGGTGGACATGTTGATCAAGGAAGACACATGTATAACAGACCAGTTCAACCACCACTCGAAGGAGTACGAGGAACTGCGGCTGTGTGCGGGGGGCAAGAATGCGGAGGGGGAGCACAAGGACATCTGTCAGGGGGACTCGGGGGGACCACTGGAGTGTCTGTGGCAAGGCTAGTGAACCAATATTTGACCCCTTTTTTTGGACACAAACCACAACCGAAAGTTACGTAGTTTTTGTAGCACAGCTTTAGTTGCGTAATTGTTACAGTTGCTACTCAAATTTTAAATAAATCATAAAATTTTTGGCTGGTTGATACTTCAACTAATTGATGTTCAAGCAATGAAATATACATGTAGTTGCATGTTATAGGAAAGACTGGGCGGAAGTATTTGTGTGGTCTGTCTTCCATGGGCTACGCGGCCCCCAAGTGTGCATATGGCCCCAGTGGCTTCACCAGAATACACCACCCTGTCATCCTCACCTTCGTCATGGACCACTACAACAGAGCCATGCGCAAACTCCCAGGCACCCCAGGTAAGCTATCTACTTAACAACCACGCCTCATCCCCTCTATGCAGGGGCGGATTTGGTGGGGGGGGGGGTATGCGGACGCCTTCCCTCAGGGATTCGACCCCCTGCCGACCCAAAGGGTCCCCCTTTGTACTATTTGAGATATCAGTTTTTGGTATCTGACTTAATTTTTTCTAAAGGCGCCTTTGGCGCCAACTTATACTAATTTTAAGAGGGGAGCGCGCGCCGAAAAAACGCGATTTTTTGGTGAAAATTTTCCAAATAGTGCCGAGAAAAATTTTTGGCCAAAACAGGGTCTTTCAGGGTCCTTGTAGCGCTTTGGGAGAGGTCGGAAAATCATTTTGGTCGACCTAAAACAAAATAAAGTCGACAAATTTTTCGAAATTTTTTTGGAAATCCGCCCCTTCTCCTCGAGAAAATCCTAGGTCCGCCCCTGCCTCTATGGTAGCTATATAAGAAATTCCACTTCTGTTAGTAGATACTGTAAATTAGCACTGGAGAGTTCTATTGAGAATTTTAATTTTGCTGCATTCCGATTGGTCAAAAACTCGACTAACCTAATCTCTTTTTATCAATTTTATAAGGGATTCCTTTGAAGTATTGTTAAGTAGAGCACAGGTAACATTCAAACATTGAACCCAGGAAGCAAGCATTCCTAACAATTAAGCCAAGTATTAACCCTTGGTACAATAAAAGCTAGCATACGTTTAGTACATTTTGGCAACTGCAGCTCCTCTACCCCCCCCCCCCCCACCCAAAAGGAACGAATTGGTTTACAAGGTATGATGCATGCATTAATAATATATCTGGAATACATTAATTTGGCGACCAGATTTGATAACCAAATTTGAGTTGGAAAAGTAAGTTGGAAAATGTGGGGAAACGAAAAAAGAATCTACATTTTTGCTGTAATTGAATGTTTAGTATCTTTGTGCTCTCCTAAACTATGATATAAAAAATCTCTAAAAAACATCAGGCAAATTTTGATCACTTCGGAAAAAAACACTCCATTTTTGGAAAATCTTTCGGTTTTATTGGAACCATTTTAAAAGGGGCCATGTTCTAATGAAACTCTCAAGCTTGAAAATGAATTGTAAATTAAAACTTGTTTATGTGTTCGCCTAAAAACAATCTATTATTCGTTAGTATTTTAAATTTAATATATAAATTTTAGACGATGAAAATGGCACTGAAGAAAACTCGGAATTAGGAGGCCAGCTAGCAACTGACGACAATGAATCCCAGCAAGAGGGTAATTTTAAACCACAAAAGAAAAAGGGGAACAAGAAAAGAAGAAAGATGAAAGGCGGAGGCGGAGCTTCGAACAGAGTTGAAAACACATGGAAGCTATTTCTTATTGTAAACATGAACACTTTATTTGCTATGGCAATCACGCGAGTTTAAGTTCAATTTGGTGTAATTTAAGGAAGATTCGGGCTGATTTGTTATTAAAAATGATAGTTTGAGGAAATGTGTAACGACTTAAATTATGTTTCAAACTCAATCCAAGAACAGAAAACACTTTATACATCTCTTTTTATTGTTCCAACTTTCGTAACGAAAGTAATGGAATTTCTGGTTGAACCGTTAATCATCACTTTTTCTGTAGTATCCCAGTGATCGCTATTTCCAGCGCTGATTCATGTATAATTCAGTTTTTTGCATAGCTAAACCTGCGATTTTTCAGAGCTATTTCAGGGGGGCTGTTCTTATGCGCGAAGGACCGAATGAACGAAAAACTCGTGGCTGCAGGACCGGAAACAAAATTAACCGAAAGTCAGTTTTAAAAAATCAATTGCCATTCAGTTAAAAAGAAATAAATCAAGAAATATTTTGCTTCTTCCATAACGAAACCCTTGAAATATAAAATTTGTTCGAAATCGGCGGCTACCAAAGACAAATTGAAAAGTTTGTACATTTCTGCCGTTTTTATAATCGGCCAATATCAATATTAAGTCCCTGGAAAAATTTACTTTCTCTCAGATTATCACGCTATCCAAATTTTAGATTACTGAAATCTGATTGGCCGAATTTTACTTTGGCGCATTCCGTCCTTCGCCTATGACGAATTACACCCTATTTCAGTAATGACTCCTTTGAAAATCATCTTTAAGACTTAAGAAATTTTAACTCATTCTAGTAGCTTTCAGATGAGAGTTTTAACTGATAAACACTTTAACATGACGATATCTAAAGATTGATGCCGCTGAGGTAGCATACAAATTTGCAAAGCTGACGGTTGCGGGATCAAACACCTTTTGGAGCACTAGTTGTTTTTGCTCATTTTGATAGGGTTTTATTGCTGATTCATCGCTGAAAAGAAGCCAACTTAGCGATAATAATATATAAAATTTGCTTTTGTGGCAAAGAAAATCGCGATAATTCATCGATGGTGATCGTTGTTTTTTTCAGCTCAAGCTGGGCGGGATTGTTTTTTCTTCAGACAAATTTCGACATTTTCATTAGCCATTTTTGACGGATTTTTTTTATCATTCAAAAAGTATTGTTGTCTTGAGCTTAAATTTGAAAGAATATTTCATTTGTGATCATTTTTCGTTGGAGCAAACTCTATCACTTTGTACTTTATATGACGCGTGGGGGGATGATTTTCACAAAAAATCTCAGGTTAAAAAATTTCTTTTTATTTTTATTTCATACTTTTTTGTGATTACTGCTCCATAGACCATAAAAGGCTCATTCAGGGCTTCACCCTTAAACGAGCAGTCTTGTTTTGAGGTTTGTGACCTCATTGAAAGTGAACATAACATCAAAGGCTGGGGCAGAAACTACAATGGTTATCAATGGACGATTACTAAATTTATAAACGGGAAATTGTTTGTTTGCAATAACTGCTGCTGAATGTAGTGAGAGGCATTCGATTCAGAAGTGTTCCTTGCCACTAAAAGTAGTAAAAATTATTCTTGTTCATTGATTGTTGGGTGGCGCACTTGATTTTGTTGGCTCAATTACTTAGTTTGATTCTTAATATCCGATGTAGGGAGTGGAATTAACGCCAAAAAAAACTTTTTCTACCTCCAAAAATTTTAGTGTAGTTATTGTGGTAGAATTTTTGTTGCGTGAAAAGTTTCAGTTTGATTACTTTTAAATCATGGTCTATTTTACTTTAAATTTGCTTTTCAATAAGTTTGTCGCTGACTAGCAGATTCATTTAAATTGAAATAAACTTTTACCCTTATTGTTGAGATTTTCTTAGAAAGTAAGGGAATAATTCTGCTGTTGTGCATTTTTTCCAGACAAATTTCATTTTCTTAACAGCAATTTTTGACAAGTTTTACTATCATCCGAAAAAAATTGCTGTCTTGGATGATAGTCTTGAGCTCAATTAAAAAAAGAATTGTGATCATTTTTTGTTAAGTTATGGGGGTTCAGAGGTTGCCAATTTAGTCAATTTGCAATGATTTACGCTCGATATCTTTCGTGCGTATCTGTACAAGTCAGTCCACCCGCACCGATTGCCCAGGGATTCTGATCGATTATAATGTATTCCCGAGACAAAAATAATCCATTAGAATACATTACAGATGTAAAATTCAGACCACGAAATTGATTATATCGCCATTATAATTGATTTTTTCAATTAAACAAATAATCCATTATAATCATTATAATCCATTAAAATCGATTATAATCCAATATTTTTGGCACTGAAATTGATTATATTTGCCAAGATAATCCATTATGATCGATTATTTTTGAAATAAAAATCCATTATATTCCATTATAAACGATTATATTGCATTTTTTTAAAACTAAATTCGCTTATTTTTGCAGAAACTTTGCAAATTTTGTAGGAAAATTGTAAAATGCAAGCTTTGCCTTTTACTAAACGCCATGTCTCAACGTTACCCCCTCAAGTTATTTTTGCCCGCCCTAACTAAAGAGGGGGGCGGTAAGTTGGGGGTGTCAATCAGTAACCCCCTCTCCAAAATCAAACAATAAATAACTCCCCCCCCCCCCCCCCCCCCGTGTTCAACTATGAGGAGGGGGCAAATGGCAATTGTGGTAAAATGTCAGGGGGTAAACATGGGGGAGGGTAAGGGGGGTTGGTTTAAAGTAAACTGGGGGGGGGGGGGAGTAAAATGGGGGGAGGTCGTTAGAGTAAACAGCTTGCAACTTGGGTGGGGGGGGGGGGGTAAAGTAAACTGAAGGGGTGCGGAGTTCAATCAGATTATAAAAAGCAAAGAACATATAAATTTTAATGCGAAATGTAAACGTTTTTTGAAATGTACGTAGCAATTGCACTAAATAAAAAATGAGATAATTTTGAAAAAAGGTGTAAATTTCATGAATAACGTTTTGAAAAATATCCTTTATAATCGATTGCAATCGATTATAATGGATTATATAGGCATCAAAAACATAAAGATTATAATCAGTTTTTAATGGATTATAAACATTATTTTTGTAAAATTATAGACACTGAGATACTGGTCATACTATGTCAAAATAATTGATAAGGATCAATGGGCGCTCGGTGCGGGCAATACAAAACAGTCTGAGACATCATATTTAATTCCAAAAAAAAACATTCCCATACAAAACAGTCCCAAAAATAGTCCAAAAACACTCCAAAAACGAGTTCCATTCATAGAAATGAAAATTTTTCCAAAAACTGATAGAAAATTTTGAACGGATTAAAACATGTTTGGTTCTACTTAAACGGGATAACAATTAGTAGTATGCCTTGAGCTCGTAAGCGGAGCTTTAATCCCTCTTAGGAATTGTTCTAAATTGATTTTAGTCAGGTAATTTGGCTTTTTAATACTTTGCTATATCCCAATTTATCACTTTGCATTTGACTTAGTGTGTGGGAGATGGTTTTCATCATTTTTTGAAGAGAACCCTGCCCAATTAACGTCAACAGGCAGGCGAAATAATCACGATTTTGAGCTGATACAAGCAGTCTTGTTATAATTGTATTGTGAACCCCCTACGTTAATCCCTACGCTCACCCGAATTGGTCTGCCAATAATAATCAGCTTTGTTCCAGAGTAAAACTAGTGATATATATATTTTTTCAGTACTGTTCCAGGAAAAAAAAACAAAAAAAAACGGTACTGATGCAGTACTGGTACAGTACTGTTATATTACTGTTTTTTATATCACTGTTTTTGTCCTGGAACAGTACTGTTATTTTTTCCATTTTTTTAATTGAATGCGAAGTTTTGTTACGTGTCGTTACAATTGATAGTAATAAAATAATGCAGTTTGCAATTAAAAATTTTCAAGAAGACAAAACTTGAATTAGATTAGAAGTTTTTGGAAATTTTCTAACCTGCTTTTTCATGAAATACATAAGTATTTGAGCCAATTTTGTCAACATGGCTTTAAGAGATCAATGTTTACTGTTTGGTTCAGAAAAAAAATTGAAAAAGAGAGGAGATGCGTTTTAAGTTAAAGAAATGAAAGAACTTTTCGAGCTAAGAACAAATAAATTAGTTTTATGTTATATTTTTAAAATAAAATCAGTTTGATTACCATAATTTGTCATAAAAGTTACCCCATGTAATCTATTTAGACTGCAAACTTTGTTCTGTTTTTCAGCTACCCTTTGCGTTGCTTTTTTCGTTTGATAAATCTTACAGTTTTTATTTAATTCAGTTTTCTAACATAGTTTTTCAAATTGTGGATCAACTCAATTTTTAAATCGATTTTAGTCTATAAATTGTCTTTTTAAAAGTGAAAAAAAATTGGTTTTAGTCAGGTAATTGGGCTTTTTAAAACTTTGCTATATCCAAATTTTTCACTTTGCATTTGACTTAGTGTGTGGAGATGGTTTTCATCATTTTTTTGAAGAGAACGCTGCCCAATTAACGTCAACAGGCAGGCGAAATAATCACGATTTTGAGCTGATACAAGCAGTCTTGTTATAATTGTATTGTGAACCCCCTACGTTAATCCCTACGCTCACCCGAATTGGTCTGCCAATAATAATCAGCTTTGTTCCAGAGTAAAATTAGTGATATATATATTTTCAGTACTGTTCCAGGAAAAAAAAAACAAAAAAAAACGGTACTGATGCAGTACTGGAACAGTACTGTTATATTACTGTTTTTTATATCACTGTTTTTGTCCTGGAACAGTACTGTCATTTTTCCAATTTTTTGATTTGAATGCGAAGTTTTGTTACGTGTCGTTACAATTGATAGTAATAAAATAATGCAGTTTGAAATTAAAAAATTTCAAGAATTAGATTAAAAAATTTTGGAAATTTTCTAACCTGCTTTTTCATTAAGTACATAAGTATTTGAACCAATTTTGTCAACATGGCATTAAGAGATCAATGTCTACTAATTGGTTCTGAAAAAAAAATTGAAAAAGAGAGGAGATGCGTTTTAAGTTGAAGAAATGAAAGAACTTTTCGAACTAAGAACAAATAAATT